AGGTAAGTTGTAAAAATCGAAAGTTTCTTCATCTCGGCTAACTATTTTTATTTGTCATTACTAATTATTAATTCTGATCAACCCTGATCACGACATCTACATCAATTCGGCAGTTCAAGTTCTTTTGAGGGCCACGTGTTTAAATAAAGTTTATTGTATTGTATTGTATTTCTCAACACGACCCCGACTCATCAAAGAATGGCTATCAAAACCTTCAAACTGAATGCCTTCAAACTGATTCCTATTTGTAAAACATTACGTTACTTTCGAGTGATGACTTTTGTTATGACATGCTAAAGATTCAATGTCTCCCACAAGAGGCACTATCTTTTTTTATGATACACCACACCCCTTAATTACTAGTCGTTGCGTACTTCTTTGTTTGATAACTCCCCCCTACCCCTCTCCTCGATACTTGTTGTAGAACAATATCGAAAACAATCTACAAACCAAAAAAGACTTGCAAAACAAAACTAAAACTTTTTTCTACAATTTCGTTAATATTTTATTTAGTTTGATTTATAATAATAATAATAATAATAATAATGATAATTATTATTATAAATGTTTACCGAATCACACATTATTGCATAAAAATGAATTACAATGTGTTAACAATTAGTAAGAAAACTTACAAAAATCGTTAAGATATACTATGCTAGGAACTGGGCTACATTTTAAGATTAAAGGTTAAACTACAGCTTTTTGAATGTTATTTATAACAACCCTTTACGTCTAAGTATTACTAAGTCTAGCTTATGACCAGTTTCGTCTTCTCTTGACTTAACGTTGGCATAACGTTGTACTACTACAGCCGGGGTTGCGTCCGCCTTTAGTGCAATATGGTTTACAAGTCAAGCCCCTGCAACACTGATCGGTAGACTGACACACTCGAAAATCCTCTCTACAGCCGTCGCGTTTCTCAGGGACCATTTCTTCTTGGTAGTCGTCACTGGTCTCATCAAAAAAACGCCGAGGCTTCGCATACGTTTCCACCAAAAGCACAGCAAAGATTAGGAGCAAAGAAGCTTCATCGTCGTTCAATCTGTTGACAATAAAAGTCATCTCAAGTTTAGAGCATTTCTATTTGTGACTCTTACTACTTCTATATTCAAATTCGATCTTTGGGCTTTCACCTAGTCTGGAGCCTAGCTCTGTTGTGATTGTCCCACCCTGTGATACCACAGCGAAAAGCTTTGTAGTCATAGACCAAGTAAAATCACTCTAAGATTTCGTAGTTTAAAAATGGTGCAACTATATCCTTCAAAATACCGTAAGCGCCAAAGTTGTTTGTAGATAACTTTATCCTTTGCACATTACGATCCTTTTGCTTTTTAATCTAATTTCTACCCTGTAACTCACAAAGCTTCAACAATAGTCAAGCAAGATGATCTTACCTTTATCGTTGGCTTGAGATGAACTTTTAACAAACTTGGTTCCAAGATGGTTAGGCACAAATTGCTGAGAGAGCTCCGAAAAGCCGCTTAAATACCGATGGCTGTTAAGGTGGGTTCAAATGGATGATTGACAACGCGATCGATCAAGTGTAAAGATGAATCTCTTCGTGCATTCATTCTAGAACTGTTGAGTTAAGCATGCGTTTAATATTGACACAACAAGAGTCAACTTGATTGAAGCATAGTATTAAAGAAATAAGTTCTAATATACACGATCTCCAAGGGTAGATGCTCTGATGATGATCAAACACACTGACAATTTAATTTTTACTGAATTAGCAGGCTGTCACTATTACGAGGAACATACAGATATTGCAGATGAAAAGGAATTTTTTTGCATCCCTCTTAGTATTTTGCATCTTTGTAAGGTGCATCATTGCGAGGACAGCGTCCATGCGTAAGCCCGCTATATTCAAATTATGCAAAATCCATCCAATTATGAGCCACGAAAAGTAAAATATATCTAATACAACAAGAAATTGGACAAGTCGATTAGAATACCTACGGCTCCAGATTTTAAAATTATGCATTTAAACTATAATAGATAAAGTCAAAGAGACTTGCAGGTTTTTCAAATCACCTGGATTTAAAGATGTCATCAAAAGTGCGCCATTATATTGAAAATTATGTAAAAATTAATCGTATGATTATGAACCAAAAAAAAGAGAGTTATTTTTGAAATGCGAGAATATATTTGACAAGTGAGTTGCCTCTCGAATTAAATTAAAACTATGGTACGGAAAATCAAACTTGGTTTCACGGTTTCTACAACCAAGTGGATTTGGGAATGCTATATATATAGTCTTCGTTTGCGCGCTTCTTAGATTATGTCCCTAAAATCTGCGTATTTATTCGGTTGCTAAAGAATCGGCGAAAATAGAGCCGCGCATTGTATTTGATCAGTGGATAAGATCAAAGGGCTTATATCGCCTTCATTCTAGGTATTCAACGAGATCTTACAAAGTAAAGCATTAAATATCGTGCGCTCCATGGGCTTGCTTTACGACTGCAGATTATATGCAGTGATAAACAGCGGCAGAACAGATTATGCGTCCCTACACCTCCCTCTGTCTTTCAGAGGATGTTCTTGTTCACGTGAGGTGGAATTGACGGAGTGGTCATCATTATTATTGATATGATTAGCTGCTCGATCAAGTGCAAAGATGAATCTCTTCGTGTATTCATTCTGTTTAGCCATGCGTTAATGTTGAATAAGGAAATCATTTGTTTAATAAAAGAACTTCAAGGCTTAATGCTCTGGTGATGATTAAACACATGGACAATACTATTTTCAATTGTAAACAGCAGGCGGTCACTTTTACGAGGGAATAAGCCATTCCACGCGCAAGCACGACTGCTTCTATAACTTGCCAAGCGTTAATTGGCTAAGTGTGCGGCTACTCTCTTGATTCCAATCTCAAGCAACTAGTCAGTCAATCACCTTCTATACTTTCTCTTTTTTTATCAAGATTAATTAGCATTTATCATAAACTCTGTAACTAATTCTTTCAGTTTTCTAACAATGTTGATCATCTTTGTCGTTTCTCCCTTCGTTGCATATATTTCTTGTTCTTGTCATTGTCCTTTTATGAATTATGCACCAGTAATGATCAATAACCTCCACCCCTAGACCTCGGGGAAAGGGTGGGAATAAACTCCTGGCAGCACGTTGGAATGCACCTCAATTTGGAGGACAAAACAATAGATTCCCAATTTTCAGGAATTTTCAGAAATTCTTTGATTTTGTCCACCAATTTGAACTCCTTTGACGCCAAATGAAAGCGTTCTATTTGTTAAATTTAGCACTTTCTTCTGGCCCCCGGGGAAAGATTTGCTGTAAAAATTGTTAAAGTTATGCTGTTAAAATTATAAAGAATTGTAAAAGCATGCCGTTCATTAAATTCCCCGTACCCCCGTGCATTAGCGCTGTTAAATTCTCGTTAAATCCCCCGGTCTTTGCCGCGTTATTAACTAATATACTAACTTTGAATAGCGAGGATGGTAATTGAGGTAACTATGCTATTGTATGAGGTTTCTAGAAAATGTTCTTGTTTGCGTGT